AGGCCCTCGCTGCCCCCCTGGCCGAGCCCCAGCCCCTGCCCCGCGGCGCCTTCCCCGGCGCCTGCTACGCCAAGAGCTACGTGGAGATGGGCCCGGCCAAGGAGCCCGGGCTGGACAAGAAAGGTAAAACGCGGGACGCACCTCGGGCCCGGGCGGCGCCGCCGGGGAGGGAAGCAGGAAGGTGCAGAGGGCCGGGGACGCGGTAGAGATGAAGCGTTCCCACTCCTGGCCTGTTCCACGGGCTGGGGACACGTCCCGAAAGGCACCGGCGGGGCCCGGGCAGAACGGAGGAACAAACGGCGTTTCGCGGGGCGGGCAGGGCAAGGCCGCCTGCCCCAGGCTGCGGCGGAGGGAGCGGGCCCTGGCTTCGGTGAAAGACAGATCGGAGGAAAATCCCTTCCGAGGGAGCAGCGAGGAGCGCGGCGGCGCCGGGGCCGCTGCGGCGACCCGCAGTGCTCCGGGCACCGTGCCCAGGGACGGGGCGCACGGGTCCCGGCCACTGGTTTCTTTTAAGGGGAAGGGTTATTTTATATTACTTCATTTTGAACCTTCCTTTCCCCTTGCCCGCTTGTTTCGCTGCAGAGCTGTGCTCGCTGCAGAGGAGCCTTGAGCAGGAGAAGAGCGAGCTGGACGATGCCGAGCGGCCCAGGCAGAGGAAGAGGAGGAAACCGCGCGTGCTCTTCTCTCAAGCGCAGGTCTACGAACTGGAGAGGAGGTTCAAGCAGCAGAAGTACCTCTCGGCCCCCGAGAGAGACCACCTGGCAAACGTCCTAAAGCTCACCTCGACGCAGGTGAAAATTTGGTTCCAGAACAGAAGGTACAAGTGCAAAAGGCAGCGGCAGGACCAGACGCTGGAGCTGGTGGGGATGCCGCCGCCGCGGCGCATAGCGGTGCCCGTGCTGGTGCGCGACGGGAAGCCCTGCCTGGGGGACGCCTCCGCCTACAGCTCGCCCTACAACGTGAGCATCAGCCCCTACAGCTACAACGCCTACCCTGCCTACCCCAGCTACAACAGCCCTGCCTGCAACGGCAACTACAACTGCAGCTACCCGTCCGTGCAGGGCGTGCAGCCCGCGCCGGCCGCCAACGGCTTCGT